CTCTGTTCACAGATGAAATGATGTTATATATAGGAAATATACAAAATACTACTAGATAATAATCAAGTTTATCAAGGTACAGCATCATTTCTTAATAATTAGTTGTATTTCTATACACTGGTAGCAGATGATATGGATGTGAAATTAAGAAAGCAATTCCATCTATAGTAGCATCAAAAAGAATAAAATAATTGGGAATAAATTTAACAAAAGCAGAAGTGTAAAACTTCTAATTGTATATTATAAAATATCAAAAAACAGAAACCTTATGTCTATGGGTCAGAAGACTTAGGTTAAGATGGCATTACTCTTTGATTTTTTTTTTTTTCCCCTTGCAGATTCAGTGTATTCTCTGTTCTAAATCCGAGAAGATGTTATTGCAGAGATTAACAGGCTGGTCCTAAATTTCTTCAAAATTCAAGGATCCCCACATAGCCAAAATAATGTTGTAAAAGCTCAGTGTGGGAGAATTCATACTTTGTTCTTTGAAAACTTAACTATAGAAGTACAGTGGTCCAGTTAGTGTGGTACTCACAGAAGGATAGATGTGTATAGGTTGGTGGAATAGAATGTCCAGAAGTAAAATTTATGGCCAGTGATGTTCGATAAGGGTCCCAAGATAATTCTATGAAAGAGAGAATTGTCCTCCCAACAAAAGGTAGTAGAACAACTGAGCATTCATGAAAGAGAATACATTTGTTCTCCTTCCTTGCACCATACATAAAATTAACTCTACATGGATTCTAGATCTAAAAGTAAACTCTAGAAATATATATGTGTGTGTGTGTGCTTACACACATACATATCTTTCTTATATATAACTTAGGAGATAATATAGGAGTAAATCTTCATGACTTTGCCTTTGTTGTTTAGACATGACACCAAAAGCAAAAGTGACAGAAGAAAAACTACATAAAGTAGAATACATTGAAATGAAAATAAATTTTGTACTGCCAGTAGTACCATCAGTAAAGTTATGAGAAAACTCACAGAATAGGAAAAATATCCGTAAATCATTAATACACTTAAATCAAAATATATCAAGAATTCTTATCACTCAGTAAAAGGTAAATAGCAAACTTAAAAGTGAGTGGAGGATCTGAATGAGATATTTCTCCAAAGGTATTCAGTTAGCTAAAGAACACATGTAGAGAGGCTCAGCATCATTAGGCATTAAGGAAATACAGCTCATACAGCTCAAAACCACAAGATGCCATTTTTCATGTACTAGGATTGATAGAAAAATAACAAGTATATGTGAGTATATGTGGAAATGACCACTGTCATACATTGCTTTTAGAAATATATAATGATATAGTTGCTTTAGAAAATGGTTTGGCACTTCCTCAAAATGTTAAACATGGTTTACATATGATCCAGAGATTACACCTGCAAGTATATGTCCCGGAGAAATTAAACTATGTGTCCTCCCCAAACCGACTGTACATATGTCAGTAGCAGCATTATTCGCAGGATAACCAAAAAGTAGAAACAGCCCAAATATTAACTGATGAATAGATAAAGTATGAGATGTTTATAATGTGGAATGTTGCTTGGCAATAAGAAGGAAGTAAGTACTGATGCATGCTACAACATAAATGAACTTTGAAAACATTATCCTAGGAGAAGGAAGTAAGTCATCCCAAAACACATATTGTATTAGTCCATTTATATGAAATGCCCAGAATAGGCATGTCCGTAGAGACAAAAAGTAATATAGGGGCTACATAGGGTTGGGGGCAAGTGGTGGGATGGAGAGTGAATGTTAATAGACACAGGATTTCCTTTTGGGGTACAAAAATGTTCTAAAATTAGATTGTGATGATCCTCAGCTGTGACTAAAGACTAGGAAATTTACACATAGAAAAGGTAAGTAGTATTTAGGGTTATATCTCAATAAAAAATGCTTAAAAACAGAACAAAATAGTCATGGCCATAGTAGATAGGAATCACCTTAAAGTGATTTATATATTACAAAGTCCGGGTTGATACAGTTGGTAATCGTTTGATTTAAGAAAGAACATCTAGCAACAGCCTAATGAGTGCTAGAATGCTAGATTAGTTCCTCTGTGTTGCTTTAGATTAAAAGGCAACCTGAGGGGCCAGCAGGTGCTCACATCATTGTACTTCTACGTGGCCATCCACGGTTCAAGTCCCAGACCCAGTGGTTTGAAAGTCATGCCAGACACATGTGCATGCATGTCCAAGATCCTGAGAGGAGAATGGAGGAGAAGGGATTATGGCATGACCATCCTTCCTCGTGGGAAGCATGATTTCTTACTTTCCCTCTTTGATTGTCTTGTCTCTCTGGCAAGGGCACACCACCTATGGCAGAAACCTCCTAACAACAGCCTGTAAAAGGCAGCCGGAATTAAGAATGCATTAAGTGAACTTTCGAGTATGGATATATTGTTTAGTATCTGACTTGAATCTTGAATGTAGAACTGAGGAGTTAGGTACAGTCTTTGCAACATAATGTCTGATTACTTTTCCTTTGCCAAAAGGTGTGTGTGTGTGTGTGTGAGAGAGAAAGTGCTCCCAGCTGGTAACACCACAATCCTTTTCTTCCATTCCTTCCTCCTTCCCATCAAGATCCTGGGCACATGCACACAATTTTAGTTATTATTATTTTTGTTATTATTATTTTAAAGTTTGCTTTAGGGCATGTACTCTCACCAGAGACAGAGAGGGAAAGTGAGAAAGCAAGCCGCCAACTCTCAGACTTGAGTATTAGTTGGCTGTGTGGGAGTCCAGTGCCTTAATCAGCATACCACCTGGTAGCCCCAACCTGGTGTGTTTTTCAGGCCTCCATGACTGGGATTTGAACCATAGTCAGCCATGTGAGATCCATCTCCCTCCTCCAATGTTTAACCACGATATTATGGGTCTGGGCAATGTCTGGTACTAAGATATAATAGAATTGAGGATTTTTTTAGATTTTTGCTATTGGACATGTGTGCTTGTCAGAGAGACACAGAAGTGAGAAATCAGCTCCAAGGGGGATGGCCATGCCACAGTCCCTTCTCCTCCATTCTATTTTAGAAAATTTGGGCATGTATACACACACACACACGCCCAGTGTGAGTTTCAAGCCACCAGTTCTGGTACTTGAATTGTGGTCGATCATGTGACTAACCACTGGGCAGTGCAGTTGGATATGTGGGACCTAGCTGCCTTAACCTCTGTGCTACCTGATGGCCCAGAATTAAAATACTTTGTTTAAAAAGAAAAAAAATTAAAGGTTTTTGCCATAGGGCTGGTGTGCTCCCTGAAGAGAAAGAGACAGACAGAAGGAAAGTGAGAAATTACCCCTCACAGGGGATGGCCTCATCACAGTACTTTCTCGTACATTCTCCTGGGATTTTGGACAATATGCGTGCAAATGCACCCAATGTGATTTCCAGGCCCCCAGATCTGGGACTCAAACTGCAGTTGGCCGTGTTGGAGTCTAGTGCCTTAACCACTGCACCACCTGTCAGTTGTCATCTAAAATTTTTTTAGCAAATTGTATAGCAAACTTATTGTGTCTCATATAGAGATTTTGAAGGATCATTGTAGGTGCATTTGTGAGTTCTGGATGATTAAACTACTTGTAATATATCTAACTGATGCTCAGTGTGTCGGCAAAATAATACATATTTTGTTAGTGTTGTCAACACGATTCAGGTAATGGGAATCATAGAAAAACTGTTTGCAAATATCAGTGATGTATTTTAAATTGTTAAGGAAGTCATTTTTACATTATAACATGCCTTCAATGTGTTGTTTAATTCCTTTTCATGTGGCAGTGTAGGTCTTAATTTCTTATTTAGAGTACTTTGAAATTTTCCATGATGGAAATAAGTGCACGAATTTGTACATTAGAGAGACTCGAAGTAAATTGTATGCATTGAACTTAAATATCTCTTAAATGATTTACTTTGTGTTTTTTATTTTTTATTTTATTTTTTTAAAGGAAAAGGTAGTTTATTAAATTAAAGTGAAACTACACTCCTGAGAGATAGGAGCAGGCCTGAGCAGACAGAGGAAAAGTGGCTCAAAAGACCCCTGCAGTTGTATTCTGCGAGATTTATCAGATTTTTTTTTTTCTTTTTTGGAGGTTTTTGCTATAGGGCACATGTGCTCACCAGAAAGATAGAGACAGAAAGTGAGAAATCACCCCCCAGGGGGGATGGTCACACCGCAATCCCTTCTCCTCCATTCTCCTCTTGGGATCTTGGGCACGCATGCACACACGCCCAGCATGAGTTTAAGCCACCAGGTCCGGGACTCAAACCACGGTCGACTACATGGGAGTTCAGTGACATAGCCATGACACCAACTGCTGGCCCCGACATTTATCATTTTTATATCTAGGTTGTGTTGGTTGATCATTGGCTGGGCCCACTGATTGTTCTCATCTCATTGGTTCTATCAAATGTAGCTGGGCCCACATTGGCTGTATTTTTCTCATTGACTATATCAAATGTGACTTAATCACCTAGCAATCCCACACTAATCTGCTTACATTACCTTGGGTGGGGAATTTTTTCTGCTCTGATAGGTTTTTCTTTGCAGCCACAAGGGAAGATGCTCTAGGCTGTTACCCACTTCCATTTGCTAGCTTTCTCCTGCTTTATTTCCCCCCTGAGAAGCATGATCCCCAAAAATCATTTTGGGGAACTGAAGGTGATGGCCTGTCTTCTGTAACTGCTTCATTCCAGAAAGAAGCGTTGACCCTACCTATGTGGGATCACAGAACTCTTGCCCTGTTTGATTTAAGTAAGAGAGCAGGGCCACCAAAGTGTTTGGTTATATAAACACATGCAAAATATATGTTTGTACTCATTTTGCTCTTATACTTTCATGGAGATAAATGTTATCCTGACTTTTAAAATATCTTACGTATTAAACTAGTTTGTCTTATTGCTGTTAACGTTTGTGTTTGATTATGTTTCTGTGCTTTTGGTATTGAATGGGAAAAGATTTTTGTGCAAATATTTCACCAAATATTTTTACAGGGACACTTAGTCGGTCTGGATGAACCAGCTTCGGGAGCTGGGCAAGAAGCTCTGCCTAAACAAGAACAAGCAAAAATCATTCGATTCGAGAGACAAGCAGAAGAGTTCATCAATGCAGTCTTTTATAGAAAAGGTTGGTTTCAGTGAAGAATAACATTTGGCACCTGCTTGTCATATGAATCTTTAATTTCAATGTCATTTTTAATAGTTACTCTTTAAAATATTTCTCTTTAATGATGATACACTTTATATCTCAATATTCCTTTGGTCAGGTTGAATTTAGAATAAAGTTAAGGCAACCCCTACATCTTCTGTAAGCTCTGAAGTTATTATAAGATTTCTGAAAGTTGTAAGGTCTTAAGTATTTCGTTAGACAAATTTTATTTATTATAATCAGTTCTAGTAATTGGTAACATAAAATCACATGTGCAAAAATTTGGTAATTCCAGTCTGAAAATTGATCTGGAAAGAAAAAGTATTTTAATATCATTCCCCACCCCACCCCTTTTTTTTTAAAGTTGCCATACCATGCATGTTCTTACCAGGAGGGGAGAGAGAGGGAGAAAGGACTCCCCAATGATGTATCCTTCTCCACTCTCCATCCTGTGGGATCTTGGCATGCAGACACACATACCTGGCATGTTTTTCAAGCCACAAAAGCTAGGATTCAGACTGTGATCAGCCATGTGGATTCAGCTCTCTTTACCACTATGCAGAAGTGCCAACCTTATAGTTAAATCTTGGAAATTGAACTTTTAAGCATTTTCCTCCTTAATACTGTTTTGTTTCACTAAAATGTTTTATATTACTAAAATCAGGGAAATAAACTCATTACTATATAAGGAAATGTTCCCCATTATATTTGAGGTGGCATTTAATAACTCATGCATTTTTTTTTCAGTTTATCTTTCTCTTTGAAATTTATGTAGGCTTGTTTTACATTTCTTTTAAAATATAGAAACATTTTCCAATCATAGAATCCTGAGGTTTAATAATTCTTCATGGAGACATTTAGTTCTTTACTCATGAAGTATAATTGCTGTCAGCTGAGATCTTTAGGAAACATCCCTTCATGATTTATTCTAGTGAAGAGTCTTTACTTTTCAAGAAATGTTTTCTAAGTGTATTTACATTTAGAAATGTTACATTTTTCTTCTAGCTCCAAGGTGGAGGTTACTGCAGTAGGTAGGTCCTAAAAATGTTTCCTACAAACCCTGACATTCTCGGATATCAATATTTAGTTTTCAGCTGACTCAGTGATTCTATTTTCTTTACTATTTCTTTATATGTTCTGATTTACACTTCTCATTCCTCTGGAAATTTTCTCCTTCCCTTTGAAGTTTGAAGGATACATTTTGCATGTACACTGGTTAACAGTCTGATTAAGTGCTGATTCTAATGGGTTGATTCTAATTGGATACCCATTGGACTTGTACTTAATGTGATAAACATTTTCAGATGTTGATGTGAGGTGAAGTATACCAAATTAAGGAATACAGAGGGACTGTTTTCAGTGACATTCCCTCCCCTTCCCCCAGTTCTTTCTATTAGGTTCCTAGGCAAAATTAATTATTATTGTATACCCTTAACCTTTCTTTTAATAGCCACTAGCACCTTCTGATCTAATCTTCCAACTGAGTCTCCCATACTCACCATGTCATTCCCATAAGATGTCCTGAATTCCAAAATTTTGTTCAAATATTCATTTTCTTAGTTTTATGGATATTTGTTTTATTAAGGTAATTCACATTTAAATTGATAGATCAATTCTGTAACTTTATTAAATAAATAAAATATCTTTACAGTTCTTCTCTTTTACGGTGTACACAGAATTGTCAGTCTGATGTATTGTTATAATAAGCTTTACTAAATGAATAAAGAAATTTTTGCCCCTAATTTAAATGGAGGAGCCACTTTCACTCTCTTCATTTAAGGAGCATTACTAAAGTTAATCATGAGCAGATTCCAACAGAGAGATTCTGTTCTATTTTTCTGCTAGTTCCATTCCTTTGTGATAGAGGTATAAATTTAAATTTAAATTTTTACAAGTTTGGGGGCAGCCTGAGGCCTAGTGGTACATGACTGACTGTGATTTGAGTCCCAGACCCAGTGGCTTGAAAAATGATGTTGGGCATGTGTGCATACATGACCAGAATCCTCTGGCAAATTTTTAAAAGGTAATTTTTTTTTTTAAAGTATCTTGTTTGGAAATTAAACTTTTAGACACATTACCTTTACATCAGTCCAGAATTCTTACCTTCAAATTAATACCTGAAATGTTCAGTATCCAGGATATGACAGGCAGTTTAGTCTGAATATAGTATTTTGTTTTTACAAATAATTCTGGTGTTCAAATTTAGTCCCTTTTTTCAACTATAGCAAATGGTATGTTTTAAACAACCAAGTGTGCAAAGGTTACCTGTAGTTAAGTAGAAACATAGATGCAATAAAAGTTGTGATGTGGACTCTATAATAGATTCCAATTTAAGAGCATTATACATTCTAGAATCATCATAACCACATTTCTTTTCACCTTGCGTTGTCATGCGTTTAAAAAAAAAGTGATACTTCCTGAAAGTTAGATTTGCAAATAAAAATATACAAATGGCTGAAATGTGACATTTGCATGTTTTTCTATAGTTTTGTTATGATTCAATCCCTTTATTTGACTTGATTGTGGTGTGTCTCCCTAGGAATGTTTATAGATGTTGAGTTTTAGGTCAGTCAGAAATGAAATGGGTTCAAGAAACTTTCAAAGATGTCAAAATTTAAAATGGAGAGATGTCATTTGTAAATATTGAATATGTTATATGTTTTGTTGCATGATTATTTTATTTATTTCACAGAAAAGGCAGGATACACCATATACCATAAGCATGTAAAGCTCAAAGATAGCAACTTACGGTCTTTATCTTTGAATCTTCACAAAGCTTTTTAATTGTATTCATTTATTAGTATTAAATACAGGGACAACTCATAAATTACTTCATTTTGCTTCCTATTGAGAAACTTCCCTCTTTATGTATTACATGCTCTCCAGCTTGTCAGAAAAAAAAGAGTATACTAATATATTAAAACTCAAAATTTTATATGATCATTCATATGGAGACTGTATGATATGTAGGGCAAAAATGGATTTTAATTGAGAACATACTATTAATAAGAAAATCCAGTAGAGACATTTAAGGAACCATGTATGCCTAAAATACTTAAATATTTGAGGAACCATTGTTAGTGATTGTAGGAACTTCTGAAACTTGCCTAATTAAGTATCTTTATTCTTAAACCATCTAGAATACTCATAATTTTTGTTTGTAGAGAGGAAAAAGAGTTTTAAATACTTTTTAGTAAGATAGAAACATTTCTATCGGTAGAGCAAGTCCCATTAAATTCCAGAAAATTAAATACACATTATAACTTTATGAGCATCTTCCTGTATTGAATATTGTCCTTTAAGGAAATATTAAAAAGTTCTGTTCTTAGGAGGCCTGTGAGGTTTTGATGCTGTGTTTGTTGTAGAGATTTTCAAGTTAGTAGTAATAAGAGTCAGTTTTCATTTTAGCTTCATAAGTCAACATCTTAAGTTCTTTACAGCTCCAAAATACTGAGTAAAGTTATTTGACTTCTACAGCTCATCTTAAAGGATCAAGGAAATTGAGTTTTTTTGAGATCTGTCTTCTAAAACCTCAGCATTTTGGTAGGGAGGGAGGTCACAGGTGGACCATTGAGATAAAGGGAAGAGTTTTAATTGAGAATCTATCACTAGCCATCTATATAGCTGTGCAGAGGCCATTTAATATTAGATCAAATTTCCTCCATCAGAAAAAGGAGGGGGGAGGGAAGATTATTTGAATAGTGATTAATTTGATTGGTCTATTTATTACTCAGCTATATCAAATGTACACTTTACACTAGGCAAGATGAGCCATACAAAGGTGAACAAGCACAATCTCTTAAGCTTGATTTCCTTCATAGACTGTTGTGTTATGGTAATTACAGAGATGTGATGATAATATACTTTATGAGTTTATAGAAAAATATAATTAAAGTACTAATATATTTGGTATATGAAATTGAAATCCAGCATAGTTTTTTCATAATATGTATTTCCATGAACTTTTTGAAGACCCTGTCATATAATACAAATAATTTCCTCTTCAACTTACCCCATCTGACCTACATGGTACCTTCCAGTGCTAAAAGTTCTATGAGTTAATGCATTCATATTTTTATTTTAAACTTAACATTGCCTAGAAGTTGGCAACTTTAAAATGTTTATGTCATTATTTCCCTAGTTATTGTGTTAGTGATTGGCAGGGTGCATTTCAAAAACCTAGGGAAAATGTGTGGTCTCTCTTAGGCTTTTGAGATTTGGTATTTAAATTCCTGTCAAGGGATTCTAAAATTGTTCCCATAACAGAAGCATCTAAGAATGTGTTAGAAACGCCAGTTTTTGAGCTGACCCTAGAATTACTCAATCAGAAACTCTGGAGATAAGATCTAACAATCTGGTTTTCAATCTTTCAGAGTGATTCTGGTGAACTTTAACATGTGGAAACTATTGCCCTAGTCAGTCGTGGATTGTAAAATTAAGTAACTCACTTTATAATCTTGGTATGCCTTAGAACAGTCCTTAATAGAAAGTATTAGTAAATTAAGCACGACCTCAGTAACCTAATCCTTCAAAAATATAGGAGATGGCTGAGGAAAAATCTAGGGGAAACTTTATGATGATCTATAGGTGTTAAAAGGGGAGTAATTATTTCATAAGACAGATTTTGGGATTTCTGTATCAGGTAAGTGATTCTTGCCCATATAATATAATAATTTGTTATCCCTTTATTTAATGTCATAATTCGGGGAGGGGGATTGTTTAGAAATACAGTTATAGAATTTTCCTTTTTGAAAATATGCAACTCAAGAACCAGAGATTAAAAATATAAATTTAATGGAAATACTAAAGAAAAAAGTGAAATTTTGTATGCTTGAAAGCTGTCTTTTTTTAGTACCTTGTCCCACTTTAAAAGTAAATAAATCTTTGTTTACAGACAGTCCCTGGGTCTCCGACCCCAATATTCCCCTAGTGGCCCGTGAGATCATGCAGCGAATGATCCAACAATTTGCTGCTGAATATACCTCAAAAAATAGCTCTACTCAGGACCCCAGCCAGCCCAATAGCACAAAGAACCAAAGCCTGCCGAAAGCATCTCCAGTCACCACCTCTCCCACGGCTGCAACTACTCAGAACCCTGTGCTCAGCAAACTTCTCATGGCTGACCAAGACTCACCTCTGGACCTTACTGTCAGAAAGTCTCAGTCAGAACCTAGCGAACAAGGTATGGTTTGATGTCAAGGTCTCCTCTAACTAATCAGAGTACTTTAATTTGGGGAGAAAAAAATGATTGACAAATAGAGTGCCAGCAGCAATAAAAGGAAAAACTAATGTGATTCTTAACTCATTACTGACTATGCAGTGATGGAGAGTACAGAAAAAGTTAGGACCTCACCCATCAACATTTTGTCATCATGGTTGGTGTGCACCACCCAATAAAGTCAGATAGTTGCATTTGTCACCAATCTTTAACTTACTTGATATGTACATAAGCATTTTACACTTTGCGAAGCAGTGTCCTATCCGTTTTTTAAAAAACTCTCATGAGACTAGCAGGTGGCATAATGATTGGGGTGCTGAACTCCCACATGGTCAACCACAGTTCAAGTCCTAGACCTGGTGGCTTGAAACATACACCAGGCTTGTGTACATGTATGCGCAAAATCACGAGAGGAGAATGGAGAAGAGATTTCATGGCTATCCCTCAGGTGGTGATTTCTCGCTTTTCATCTCTCTGTCTCTCTGTCTCTCCAAGCGAGCACATGCACTCTAATAGCAAAACAATCTCTCAAAAATAAAAAAAAACTTTGATGAAAAAATAAGTATTTTTCCTTTGCCATCAATGTTCTAGGATTAGTACCTACCTGAAAACTGCCTTTACTTGAGGTACTCTGCAAATTAGATCTGGAGGGTAAATATAGTATGTATTATTTACCATTTAAAAAAGAAACTAGAAGGGTTGGAAATGAGGGAAAGACACTAGAACACACTACTTTGCGAAACATAGTGTTTTATAAATTACGTACATTATGCACATCTACTTCCAAAAGGAAATTTGTTGGTGAGGGCCCTAATTAAGTGAAAAGATTAGAGGTTGTCAATTTTCTTTAACAAATGTTTCTTGAGTCTGAAAAGTTTATTCTCTTAAGTAGGTAAAATGTTCCTATTTCTCTATGATCTCATCTTTCTTATAATTTCACTGAGATTTAAATGAGCATTTCAACTTAATCGTAGTTTTGAACCACCACAAATTGAAAATTGACGATGTCTATATTAATGAGATTTTATTATCACAGAAATGTCATAGAAGTATATATAGAAAGGTTATGAAGATGGTGGATTTATTGGTGAGAAATACATTTTTATTCTGGAAAGTCAATGATTCTTAAAAGAATCTGTTTGAAAGGACCTTCTTTTGCTTATTTTGAGTAGTTTATAGAGGCTTTATTTACATTTAATGGACTGGCTTGGTCACTTACTAAAGATTGTACCCTTTGAGTAGTTTCCTTTTGCCATTTTCCCCCTTTTTTTGGTGTGAACAACTAATGGAATATCTAAGTTCTGAGAGATTTCCTGACTGGTCATCTCCCAGTTGTCCTATGCTCACATTGATTGCTATGTCTTTGGGGACCATATTTGCAATGTTATGTCTTCTGTTTTACTGGGGATTGTTTTCTTTACTATAAATTTTATAAATTTTCACTAAAAATACGTTTTCCTTAATTATCGTATGAGAACTTCAGGATTATAGTAGGAAATGGAAGTTTAAAGGATATTTAAAGTATTAATAATGGATGTTAGCATACAAAGATACCACTTATTCTAATTCAACTTCTTATAGCTAGCATTCCGTTTAAGAGGTATGTTATATTGACAGCTTTCTTTTACCAAGAGAAATTTGAACTACATGATTGCATTAGTAGTGTGTAGATTTTGTCAAATGATGGAAAACTTTTAAAAGTATATTTTGTAAATGAATTTTAGTATTTGCAAATTAAATCAGTTTTTTTTTAAGGTAGACTGAAAATATGTTACTTATATGATTAAATAAAATCCCTATTTATTGAAATCTTTAAGTAATAGGTCTTTAGAAATACTTTAAACAGTGCATTCTGTTTGTTAGATATCTAAATAGATGGTCAGCTATCTACTAGGATGGTTAGTTCTATAAAATTACTGTTAGTTTTTGAGAAATATTAGAGATTAAAGGACAAAGCTTTTTCTATGTAAGTGTGGACTTTCTTGTTTATAAACTCAGTTACATATTTATTTTTAAAAGCCTTAAATTGAGTTACAGTGTCCTCAGACAAAAGTCATGGTAGGTTCTATCCTAGGTTTTGTTTAAAGGCAGTGTTTCACTGTGTCCAAATCCTTTCGTGTAACTGGGACTATATGATGTTTAGTCACGTGGCTGGCTGTTCAGGTGCCTGGGCAGTGTAACCCAGGCCTCGCATGTGGCTTCAGCCTACTGAGTAGCAGCATCAACAGAGGCGTATTACTTTGGGGGCCTTGAGGTGATTTTTAATGTAACTAGATAGCAACATCTTTTTGCCAGCCAACTGAAAATCAGAGGCATTACATGTCATCTTGTTCTGTTAATTCTGGATGGAGTGGCAACTCTGAGATTTCCCTTCTAGATAAGTTTTTAAGGAAAAAAAAAATGTCTTTTAGGGGAAAGAAAGTCTTCTAACTTTATCTATCTATAATATGAATTTAGCTTAAGTGAAAAATAGTAGTACTTCCAGGCTTTCATCAGTATCAAGACTGTTTCATTCTTCTTTCTTTCCCTCTCGTTGTCCACCAATCTTTAACAGAAGAATTTTGCCTTTATAAAGTTTAACAAGTGAATCTCTGCAGATCTTTTTCAAAAGATTGAATCCAAGTATATGTTTTTTTTTTTATAGATGTGTCCAAAGAATAATTAGGATACACTCAAATTATAAACCACTAACAGCTGATTCGTCTTACAGACTGTCTTAGTGTGTACATGTAATTTAACCATATAAACTTACCTTTTAAAGTAATTTTACTTAGATCTTTTTACATACAATTTTTATGTACTTTTGTATTTATAGGTAAATTTAGCTCATGAAGAATTTATTTTTGAAAAAAGTTTGTTTTTATAGTTTGTATGATCAAGGTAAATCTACAAAGTGATGTTTAATAACAAATATAGAATCTCATGTTGTATAGACTATTTGTAATATCTCACTTTATCTTAACATTTTCAGTAACATGTTTTGCCTTTTTCTTTAGTACAATTACTTAAAAAATTTTAACCTGTGGAGATACTAGACATAACATGCTTTGCTAAATGTATATTACTTCAAGAGAAAGAAATACTATTATTAAATTGGTTTCACAACTCAAAATATATGACTAGTGTATCTGCTTAGTTGACTAGGCCTACTAGCTTTTTCATTTTTAGCCTGTTCAGTTCACATTTGCTCTTTTATAATATCTTCAGGTGTTTCTTTGTGTCTCTACAGACGGTGTACTCGATCTCTCCACTAAGAAAAGTCCATGTGCTGGCAGCACTACCCTGAGCCATTCTCCAGGCTGCTCCAGTACTCAAGGGAACGGGTAAGAGAAAATATTTGTAGTCTTCCACAATTTTGTGTCAGATAATTCACAAAGGATTTGATGCCAGTGCCCCTTACACTTTTTTTTTTTTTTTAACATTTCTTTCTTTTACATGAGACAGACAGACAGACAGACAAACATCCTCATCAGGGTCTCCTGCCGTGATGTACCTATCACCTCGCAGCCTTTCCTACCCAGCCAGGATTATGGGCATGCATCCACACCTGGTGTATATAGGTTAACCTGAGAACCAAACTCTGATTTTTCATATGGCTTCAGCATTGCAGAATGTCTTACTGTGACTAGGCCAGCAAGGCTGGGGCTCCCTCTCATATATTTAAAAGACTAACCCTTCAGGGTAACAATCTTCTAGTTAGGCCTTTTGTAAAATTACTGTTAGTTCATCAACTAAGCTGAAAGTACAATCTGTGCAGTCTAGAATTGGCTAGTAGTTTGTCAGTTTAGTACAAATAGAAAATAATCATTTATATGGCAAGAATGTGTCTTTGGACTTTTTGTCATTGAGAGTTTTGAAATGTGTTAAAACCTAAGCTAAATAATTCCAAAGTTAGACATGGAGATAGTAATATGTGTGTTGAGGTTGTTGAATGAAAATTGGGCTCCAATAATTAACTCGGTATCTCTTTTGGGGATTGTGTGTATATGTCCATTTTGATTTGGTTTGTTTTGGTTTTTGACCATTGAACTGCAGTTTTAACTCTGTGGCAGTTCAAAAAATGTGTGCACTTTTTGTTTAATAGGTAAGACTGATTGTTGATGTAGTTGGATAACTATTGTATGTTGCCAAGACATTATTACATACTCAGTTTTGATAACTCTTAGCAGATTAGAGTGTATTCTCTGACCAGGTAATTTCACAGTGTAAGGATTATGTATTTTTCCTTATGTGTATCTTAATAACATTTAGAAAAGTCAAATATTAATGAAGATAACGTAGATACCATATGGGAAAAACATTTCCACAAAACTGTTGTAACCAAAAACAAACTTTATCTAGGCATAAAAAATAACTTTGGTAAGTTTGAATTAGTTAATATTTAGGCTTATTTACTTTTATAATACCAACATGGGAAGTTACTTAAATACTAAAGGAATAAGTGGACACTAAATGGACTAACCTTTTCCAGCTTACACTTAATTACCTTCAAATTGAAGGATTTCTTTACTGACTTTTAGATGTCCTTTTATTTTCTATAGAATTCCATCATTTCCCCCTTTCTTCCTTCCTTTATTCATTCTAAAAATAGCTATTAATCTAATCAATTATGTATGGTATACTGATCTTTTTTCTTTAGCTCTTCTTTTCAGTGTGGTTTATACTAGATGTAAGTCAGTGTGGTCCCAAATCATTGCATTCCATTTATGAATCAAACCATTTGCCTTTAGACTTAATAAAGACACATGTAATGGAATCCCAAATGGCAGTTTGTGTAAGTGAATCTCTTGCCTAAGATTCACCATAAACTTAGCTGTCAGGTCCATGTGATTTATGGTAGAAGTTGTGTTTATCCCTCTGAATGGAAAGTGTTTTCTACTTGGTTTTATTTTATGAAATAAAAATGTACCACTAATACTGCCCATGTTTTAGTTGAACATTTAGTGTTATCTTTCTTGTCTTACTTGCTAATGATAGCAGTCCCTGTAGGATTTTGGAGAACATAGCTGGTTTATCACTATTTCTGCAAAGTTTCATATTCGTGCCTCTCTAATGTAATGATTTCCCTTGGGCATGCTTTACCAGTTGCTAGTTTTAATATCGATAATCTTTCTCTATTGTGAAAATTAAGAACTTACGAGTTATCTTTGTATAAGTGGTTGACTTTGTAAACATGACTTGAAAGTTAGCCACTTGAAACTGCTAAATAGACCTTTGCTATTTCAAGAAGAGATGTTTTGTTTTTTGTATTTGTTTTCATTTTTTTAACCAAGGAAAATGTTACAAAGTTGTTTGGGGGGAAATAAAGAGTAATTTATTTTAAGCATGGGTTATTTCAAGTGAAGAATCATGATACTCATGTATCGGCAACTAATAGTGTTATAAAATGAAGAAGTGTGGTAAGTTATAATGCAGCGGGTCTTTTGGTTTATTTTATTTTAGTTCCCCCCCTCCTTGGGACTGACAGTCATATATTATATATACATTTTCCCCCAAGCAAAATCAGAAACATTATTTGAAATTGTTTGATTTTTGATGATGAGCATCAACTTGTTTGTGGGATAAATGAACAATTATTTATGGGTTCCACTGATGTAAATGGCTCCAGTTTTATAGCTAATTGTCATGAATGTTGAATACATTGCATTAAAATAAATAATTTGGCTTACTCTTTTATTACTGTACTTGTTTAGTGGTAACGTCACATTGGTAACATAATTCTTTGTAGATCTATGGAGACTGATGATTACTTTGTAATTAATAATTAAGGTGCTATTTTCAGACAGTTGCGCGAAACTTTTTCTCCGAAAATTTGTGAACCCAACCAGAGACCAGCCAACAGGTTTAATTTTTCTTTGCCCACAAAGCTTCTGGGTTTTTTTCTTTTTCTTTTTTCCTTTTTCTCTTTTTGTGAACAAGTTTTAAAACTAACTGCCGAGACCATTTTTTTTTTTTTAATTTTTAGAGAAAAATAAATAAATAACACAAAGTGATGTTACCCAAGCAAGGCCTTCTAATAAAGGAGTGGTCCCCTCACCCATCCCTCCCTACCTGTGCAAGTCCTGCTCACATCAGTTTCCTTCCATCCAATTAGGCGACCTGGGAGACCCAGCCAGTACCGCCCAGACGGACTTCGGAGTGGTGATGGGGTACCTCCAAGAAGCTTACAGGATGGAACCAGGGAAGGTTTTGGACACTCCACAACACTCAAAGTTCCACTGGCTCGATCTCTGCAGATTAGTGAAGAACTGCTGAGCAGAAACCAATTGTCCACAGCTGCCAGCCTTGGGCCATCTGGATTACAGAATCATGGACAACACTTAATATTATCCAGGGAAGCCTCTTGGGCAAAACCACATTATGAGTTTAACCTCAGCCGTATGAAGTTCAGGGGAAATGGTGCACTCAGCAACATCAGTGACCTTCCTTTTCTTGCAGAAAACTCTGCCTTTCCAAAAATGGCACTTCAAGCAAAACAAGATGGAAAAAAGGATGTGAGCCATTCATCTCCTGTAGATTTAAAAATACCACAAGTTCGAGGAATGGATCTTTCTTGGGAGTCTCGCACTGGTGATCAGTACAGCTATAGCTCTTTGGTAATGGGTTCACAAACGGAGAGCGCGCTTAGTAAAAAATTAAGGGCTATTCTTCCAAAACAAAATAGAAAAAGCATGTTAGATGCTGGACCCGATTCTTGGGGCTCAGATGCTGAGCAGTCTACCTCTGGACAGCCATATCCCACTTCGGATCAAGAAGGAGACCCTGGTTCCAAGCAGCCTCGGAAGAAAAGAGGGCGCTACAGACAGTACAACAGTGAGATACTGGAGGAAGCAATCTCAGTGGTTATGAGTGGAAAAATGAGTGTTTCCAAGGCTCAGAGTATTTATGGGATTCCCCACAGTACACTGGAGTACAAAGTAAAGGAGAGGCTGGGCACTTTGAAAAACCCTCCAAAGAAAAAAATGAAATTAATGAGGTCGGAGGGGCCAGATGTTTCTGTAAAGATTGAATTAGATCCCCAGGGAGAGGCAGCACAAAGTGCAAATGAATCAAAAAACGAGTAGGAATACTGTAGAGTGCCAATTACTGTACAGACTGGGTGAGCACTACTGCATCATCGTTCAGCTATCATTGCTTGTACCTAACTTCATTTACTGTGACACTTGTTTCTTTGCAGCTTTTGCATTGACTTGTGTGTACAGAGGTGAAAGGTACATTCCGAATGTTGCATATTTTAAAATTTCCATGTGCAGTATGGCTCGGAATATTGTTTGGCCTTTTGCATGTTTCTCTACAAAAGAGAATTGAGTTACCTCACAGAGAACAGATACATGGAAGTGGACTCCTTGCCTGTAGAGCCTGCATGCTTTTCTTTTCTTTTACTGTTTTTTTTTTTTTTTTTTTAAGTTATTTTTGCCTTTACTTTAAAAAAAAAAAAAAGAAAAACAAAAAAACTGGGAAATTGGGGAATTGTCTACATCTTCCCTGGCCATCTTGGTATAGACCCACTGGAGAGCTAAAAATAAGAAGCTTTGGGGTTTTTTTTTTCAAACAGGGGTCAGCAAACTGCAGTCTATGGGCTGAATCTGACCCACCACCAGATTTTGTAACGTCCACAAGCCAAGAGTGTATTTTTTACATTTTTAATTGGTTTAAAAAATAACATTCCATGTCACATGAAAGTTATATAAAATTCAAATTTCAGTATCCATAAAAAAAGTTTTATTGGAACACAGCCCCATGCTCATTCATTACGAATTGTAGTTGCTTTTATGCTACATGGACAGAGTTGCAAAAGAGACCATCTGGCCATAGAGCTGAAAATACATACTGTCTGGCCCTCTACAGAAAAGGTTTGCTGACCTCCATTCTGAAGCTGAAGGCTTTGAAGGTGTAGAGCTGAAGTCTCTAATGGCTGAAGGGAGAGGTCTAGCCATAGGAAGAGTGAGAGACCTTAGCTTGGGAGAGCCAACTGATGGACTCCATGTCCAGTGGAGCCCTGGAGGCCTACTCTCAGCCATAGAGGGAGCAGGTATCTTCTGGGACCCTCCAAGTGGAAGCTTAGGGAAATGCCACCATCTGTGGCCTTGCATGCTACAGGGAAGGTTAGGAGGTCAAGATCTTTTTTTTTCTTTTTTTTTTTTTTTTTTTTTTAAGTTATATTTGCCTTTACTTTAAAAAAAAAAAAAAGGAAGAAGAAAAAAGCCCCCTCTTAGAAACCATCTCTGTCATACTGGGAGCTTTATCATTGTGAATTGGAAAGCCATCTAGAATATAAAATTATTCACACTTTTTTCTTCTACGATTCAACCAATTGAAGGAT